TTGATCATTAATCACTTCTGTCCTACGTGGAAGTTTCGTAATTGAAACGTGAGGTCGGGCGGATTATGAGTCTAAATCGTTAGGCGTGTAAAGTTTAGGTGGGCTAATCCGTGTTCGGCCCGGATATAGATCGCTGCTTTGAAATATTCAAAGACGATCTTTCGGCTCTGCAGCGTCGACTGCGTTTTCAATCGCGCGACCAACCCTTATACGGTGATTATATCTTAATCAGGCACATCTTACATCGCCTTCAATTTATTAAGGCATCCTGAACAGGAAACTTGTATAACCACAGTGTGTAAGATATAACCAGTCAACGTGTCTTGGTATGTACAATATTTTGGATGTGCACTGATTGGTCAAGACCTTACTTTTTTTTTTTTCTTCCTTTTATTGGATTTCTATATCCGTATATGAACCAAGTTCCAGGGTCCGTATTACGTCATGACAGTGGCAGTTTCGTGAATGGGTCATGTGTTTGATTCTTTAATTATACCTAATTGTCAACTTTTCTTTATGCTAATAGCGTTTAGCCATGAGGATTATTTGGTACGTGAAGAAAATTGTCGATTTTTTTATTAAATTATTTTTTATTTAATTTTTTATTAAATTACTTCTTTGTGCGATACACTTAATTAATAAGAAATACTTGCTGCTCGTATAGTGTAATTAAGCGAAATATTAATTGACGGGTAGCAACGAGTTATGTGAAAAAAAAAATATAAAAATTCAGGTATCTTTCGGTCATTGTGTATGACCAATGTATCTGTTATGTAGCATGTATGAAGGATGCAGCTTAAGCCTATGAAATGCAGTCAGCTGACTGACGCCTCGTATGCGAAAATATTTCACTTTGCTCGACTTTGTGAACGCCAGCTGGAATTCGACAATTTTTCAAAAGCTTCTGCCATAATTTATTTCTTTTTCGTCGCATTCGCAATAAACTTCAGTGTACCCGATGTAGGGTTTGTTCGATGAAAATTCGTAAAACAAGTTATCGCTGGTTTTTTTTTTTTTTTTTTTTTTTTTT